TATATATTTTTTTTTACATAAATGTTAATCGGGGACTCCATTCTCAACAAACACGCTTCAAGAGGGGAAAAAGGTCTGCAGCGCACATATATATTATGCACATTTTCTACATTTAAGTTTATATATCTCATATTTTATTTTTTCAATATTGAAGTTTATATAATTAATATTTAAGTTTATATATTCTATATTTTCTATACATTTTCTATATTTAGGTTTTCGGTGTTTAGGTTTACGTTTATTATTCGCAATACTGAACATTATATATTTAAGTTTATATATTCAATATTGAAGTATTTATTTACCATTTTCTATATTTCAGTTCATATATTTAATGTTCAATGTATTTAATATTTAAGTTTCTACATTGACTATTTAAGTTTGTAAATACTGAAGTTTGTAAAGAAGTTTTAATAAAAATGTGTATTTAATATTTACTCTTATATATTAAATATTTTCTATATTTAAGTTTATATTTACAATGTTGAACTTAAATATTTTAGTTTATATGTAATATTCAATTCGATATTGAAACTTCTATGTTTAAGTTTATATATTAAATATTTTCAATATTTAATATTTACATTTATTTAATAGGGACAATGCATGTTAATAAACATTAGTATGAAATACAAAATACAAGTCAGATTATAACAACATTGCTAATTTTGTAATATTTAATTTAATATTTATACGTTTAATATTTAAGTTTATATATTAAACATTTTCTATATTTAAGTGTATATATTTAATATTTTCTGTATTTAAGTTTATATAACGTTTTAATAACATTTTTATTACAGAAGTTTGTAAAGTTAATATTTAAGTTTATATTTAATATTTAAATTTTTGTGCTAATTAGCAAACAGGCAATAACTGGATGTTGGGTGACGAGACGCTTGTAGTAAATATAAATGGGCTGTGAATCTGATTTTACTCTGAATTTAACACATACAACTCCGAGTGAAATGCATCATTTTATAGAAGTGAACTTTTCTCTCTTTTAACCTGTAAGAATAAAGCCCTTTCACTTTTAGTTATGACAGAAAATTATTTAATGCATCATAGCAGATGTTCATCATCATCATCATCCTCTGACCTTGCTCTAGTTCAGACACCACACACTCCTCCAGGGCTCCGGACGGACTGTGAACTTTAGCATCGATGTGGCCTTTTGCCCCGTTCAGACGCACCGCAAATGATGCCGGCTGGTTGACCTTCAGACCCGACTCCTACATTAGTGAACCAACAGCTTAGAACATCTCACACACACACCAGTGCATTCTGGGAGGATTGTTGATGCTCATTCACTAACATCCAAACGTTTGGGGTCAGTAAAAAGTATCTTCTGCTCACTAAAGCTGCATTTATTTGATCAGAAAAATCAGTAAAAATTGTGAAATATTATTACAATTTAAAATAGCTGTTTTCTATGTCAGTATATTGTAAAATGTAATTTATTTCTGTGATCAAAGCTGTATTTTCAGCATCATTACTCCAGTCTTCAGTGTCGCATGATCTTCAGAAATCATAATAATATGCTGAATTGCTGCTCAAGAAATATTTCTGATTATTAGCAATGTTGAAAACAGTTGTGCTGCTTCATATTTTTGTGGAAACTGATACTTTTGTTTTTCAGGATTCTTTGATGAATAGAAAGTTCAAAAGAACAGCATTTATTTGAAATGGAACTCTTTTGTAACATTAGAAATGGCGGTAACACTTTACAATAAGGTTCATTAGTTAAACATTAGTTAATGTATAAACTAACATGAACTAACCATGCGCAATACATTTGTTACTGTATTTACTAATCTTCACTAACGTTAGTTAATAAAAATACAGATGTTCATTGTTAGTTCATGTTAGTTCACAGTGCATTAACTAATGTTAACAAGAGTTTAATAATGTATTAGTAAATGTTGAAATTAACATTAACAAAGATTAATAAACGCTGTATAAGTGCAGTTCATTATTAGTTCATGTTAACTAATGTAGTTAAATAATGAACCTTATTGTAAAGTGTTACCGAAATGTCTTTACTGTCACTTCTGATCAATTTAATGCATCCTTGTTGAATAAAAGTATTAATTTCTTTAAAAAAAAAAAAAAAAAATCTTAGTGACCCCAAACAGTATAAGTATACAATGTGTATATTTTTAATTACGAATTCATTCAAATTGAATATGAATTATATCATTCTATGGTTTTAAATGTTGTTTAAAAAGTGCATCAAATGGCATAATCATAAAATAATAATAAATAAAATGCTTATTTTTCAATAAAAAGCTAAATAAAGAAAGAATCATTACACATTCAGATGTTGATGCTCTCACCTGAGCTCACCTAAGATCAGCTAAAGCTGAGAGAGAGACGCCAACATTTGACAAGAGAGAAGATGAGAACTCCAGGGTTTGCTAAACTACAGAGAATGATGGGAAAGGGTTTGGATGGAGGTTTCTAGCGTCTTCCTCTCTCAGCTTTAACTGATCCTACTGTGAGCTTTACAAGAGCGGGTTCTGTTAAAAGCCTTTAAATGACACACAAGAGAAACACCAGAACAGCCACACAAAGACGACTGATGTCCGACAGCTATTCAAAGACACGACCACGAGAGAAATCTGTGACAAAGCTGCTTATACATACATCAAGTAGTGTTAATAATCTGTTCTGAACACTGATAATAATCAGAAATGTTTCTTCAGCAGCAAATCAGCATATTAGAATGATTTCTGAAGATCATGTGACACTGAAGACTGAGTAATGATGCTGAAAATACAGCTTTGATCACAGGAATAAATTACATTTTACAATATACTGACATAGAAAACAGCTATTTTAAATTGTAATAATATTTCACAATTGTACAGTTTTTACTGTATTTGTGATCAAATAAATGCAGCCTTGGTGATGTTTTATTTAGTTGAAAAAGGGAAAGTATGTGTGTCATTACATACAAACTTCCATATTAATATATTTAAATATAATTTACTTCATTATATTCATTTGACTGTTTTCCCATTGTTGCTAGTCTGAGGACTGAATAGCTGTGGACACGCGTCTGTGTCGATGTTTCCTCATGTCTCACCTGAAGACTGGTAACAGTGAGTCTCCGAGCGTCGTCCACAGGAGCGTGAACGGGCACCAGGTAAGGGCTGTCAGGAATGTGCTCGTCGTTGAACTTTATAGACACTTCGTAGTCGCCTGCAGAGAGATTTAAGATTTAGGTTGCTTGGGTAAACACAGCTTTCCAAACGGAGCGCAGGACGGAAAGCTTGTGTGTGCGTTTATACCTGGTTCTTGAGCTACATAGGAGACGCCGCAGGATCCGTCCTTCCTTTCCTCGAAGGAGATTTCTGCACGACTGGGACCTTCAAGAGCGATGGACAGACCGCCGGCGCCCGCCTCGCGCGTCCACACATTAAACTCCGCTACAAGAACACAAGAATGAGATGAACGTGTGTTTAAAGGAGCTCTAGTCTATACAGTTCAGTGTCACAAAGATGGTCAAAATGCACTGTACTTGCATGAGCCTTAAAAAAATTAAGCCTTCGAGATAACATTTGAATATGTTTCCAAACCTTTTTCTTGTTTTTACTAAATTAAATTAAATTAAAATATTAAAATAAATTCAAAATTAAATGACAGGCAGTACAACAAATACATTTTTATAATGTTTTACATCTTAAGAAGAAAAAAAATAATTCAGGTAAGCAAATAATTAAACATTTCTTTATGCCTAGATGACATTTAAAGATTTCCACCTTATTTACGATTTTTAAAAAATTTAAATTAAATTACAGGAAGTACAACATAATGTAGGCATACTAACATAATATAGAAAATTGTACAATAATTTTAATTAACCACCATTTTGGTGAGTAAATAATTGAACATTTCTTTATGCAAATTATGATAAATAATATGGTGTAATGAGCATAAAAAGCTTTTTTTCCCCCAAGATGACTGTTTCCATTTTTTTTTGTAAATTTTTATTTTTTACTAAAATAAAGATTAGATTAAAATAAATGGAAGAGATTTTTCCACTTTTAACTAAAACGAAAATTTAAAAAATTAAAATTAAAAAATATATTTTCTGCATTTTAAATTTAAATAACTGTACATTAAAATATTAAAATAAATGTAAAATGTAATTAAAATAAAGGTAGTACAACAAATACTACCAAATGTATACAGTTTTATAATCTTTTTAGAATGTATAAAATATAATTAGCATTTTATCATGACTTATAAACATATCTTTTGTGTTCAGTGGAAGAAACCAAGTCATGCAGATGAGTAAATAATTGCTTAACATTTCTTTACAAAAATCATGGTAAAGAACATGTAATGAGCAAAAAAGGTTTTTTCTTTAAGATGACATTTAAAGATATTTTCCAATTTTTCCAACTAAAATAAAGATTAAACTAAAATATAAAAATGTTTTTGTTTGTTTTGTTGCATTTTTACACTAAAATTACTGGACATTAAAACATTCATTTATTTTACATTTGTGACCCTGGAGCACAAAAGCAAATCTTAAGTTGCTGGGGTATATTTGTAGCAATAGCCAAAAATACATTGTATGGGTCAAAATTATTATTATTTTTTATGCCAAAAATCATTAGGATATTAAGTAAAGATCATGTTCCATGAATATATTTTGTAAATTTCCCACTGTAAATATATCAAAACTTAATTTTTGATTAGTAATATGCATTGCTAAGGACTTCATTTGGATAACTTTAAAGGCTAATTGATCAATATTTAGATTTTTTTGCACCCTCAGATTCTAGATTTTCAAATAGTTGCATCTCGGCCAAATATTGTCCTATCATAACATTCAGCTTTCAGACGATGTATAAATCTCAATTTCAAAAACTTGATCCTTATGACTGGTTTTGTGCTCCAGGGTCACATATATGTAATGTATTTATGAAAAGGCAGTACAAGAAATACTACCAAAATAAGCTAACTGTTACACCACCGTCACACCATATTTTCCAACCTTTCCCACTTTTTTTTTTTCTTCAACTAGAATTTTAGAATAAATTTAAAATTAAAATAATTAATTTAATAAAATAAATAAATACAATTATTGCAGGAAGTACTTAAAAACAACAACAACAACAACAACAAAAAAACCTAACATTTAATCAGTGTTCATACCTGGCACACCCGTCTCGGCCTTCTCCAGACCCGGACCCCCCGCTCGCACCTTACGGGCTCCTCCTTCTCCCAGCGGGCCGACGGTGAACTGGAAGGGGCTTCCCGGCACGTGCTGCCCGCGGTACTTCACGCTCACCGTGTGAACGCCCATCTCGTGAGGCACGAAGCGCACGCAGTAGGTGTGATTTCCCACTGCCACCATCTCAGCCGCTTCCGTGGCTCCCGACGGGCTGCTGACCTGCGCCGAGACGTCCTGGAGGTCGATTCCTGGGGAGAACAGAGAGCAGAAGGACTCTTGTGGGAGCTGACAGAAGAGATGCAGGAACGGCTCTCAGCTGGTCTGACGTCTGCGCTTTCTCAAGGTTTTGCAAGCAACATACGGAGACGAAACTTACTGTGTGCGGGTTTTATTAAAAGGAGTCATTATTTACTCACCTTCATGTTGCTCCGAACCTGTATGACTGACTTTCTACCATGCAGCACAAAAGACTGAAAGCAGCGTTGAACATTCGGCTAAACATCTCTTTTTGTATTCAACGGAAGGAGAGCTAATTTAGTATCATTGCTATACTATTATAATTTCAGTTAATATTTTGAATCTTATTTTATTTTATTTATTTTTTCTGTTTTCACTTTAGTTAAAAGTTTTAGTAATTTTGTTTTGGTCATTTGTTTTTGTAATTTTTAAAGAATGCACTGTGTAACAAGCAAAAACGATGAAGTTAAGATATTTTCCAATTTTTTTTCTATTTAAATAAAATTATATTTAACTATTAAATTTAAAATCTGAATTAGATTTTATTTTTTATATTTTCTGCTTTCACTTTAATTTGATTTTGTATTAGTTTGTTTTTTAAGGAATACATGGTGTAATGAGCAAAAGATGAAATTTAAATTAGATTTTATTTTCATGTAATTTGTTCTCACTTTAATTTTAGGTTGAAATTTGAGTAATTTTGCTTTTGTTGTTTTTATTTATATTGTCAGATATTTTTTAAAACACATGGTGTAATGAGCAATGAAGATGTAAAGATGTTTCCCCCTCTTTTTAACTAGAAATAAAATGACAAAATATTAAAATTACAATGTAAAGTAATTTTAATCACAACTTTAATGACTAAGATTTAGTAATTTTGTTGTGTTTTTGTAATATATATATATTTTTAAAGAACATGGTGTAATGAGCAAAAAAAAAGTAAGATATTTTCCACCCTTTTAACTGAAAATTACATTAAAATATATACAATTTCAAATAGATTTTTGTTTTTTTCTTTTAGTTGAAGTTTTAGTAATTTTGTTTTTGTGATTTTTATTAATCTATAGAGTTTTTTCCCCTTTTGTTGTAGTTTATTTTTTAGTTATTTTAGAGGATAATAGGATAGTAAATAATAAACAAATAATTCACCATTTTTATGGAGTTGTAATGAGCAAAAAAGCAGCTCTGGTTCATGCAAACAAACACACGTGTATCAAAAGCAAGCGCGTTCTGCCAACCTCGTGGTCCACATGCTGCGTGTTTAAAACGCACCCTCCAGCCCTCCGCAAGGCCTTCTGACGGGTGCCGTGCCAATCCTGGTCACCCTCACTCGGCCCACGGTGAAGCGGGTCCACCCTGAGCTGCTCTGACCTTTGACCCCGAGCCGAATAGAGCAGTGGGAGCGATAGACGCCGCGTGAGAGCAACTCACGAGCCAAAGCCAGAAGAAACCAGGTCACTGATAGTCACAGACGCAGAAAAGACAAGAAAGAAGACAGAAACAAGTGAGGAAAGAGAAAGGACAGAACAAGCAGTGCATCAGGTGAGAAAAACAGCAAAGTGGGGAAAAAGATAATAGAGTGTATAGGAATCATGTCTGATATTTGTCATTTGTCTGCATGTCTTTCAATATATGAGCTCAGAGTCGGTCAGGCGAATATGGGATGAAGTGATGGTTTGTGTGGCCTGTATTAGATCACTGCTAACCCTCCATTACAGCGTGGCCTCATTAACCAGAACAAGTCTCAAAACCCACATATGGAAGCAGTCTACATAGTTTTCTTAGTTTTTACTGGCCAACTAAAGGCCTGTTCACACCAAGAGTGACGCGAGGCTGACATGACAAAATGTGCATTCTCTAATGTGAAATATAATGGCCAAGTTGTCATTTTCTAAAACTGTGATTTAAAAATATATCTTAAAACATGATAATGATACGGTTTATAATAAAGTTATTGTAATACAGCATATCTAATATATAAATATTTGATTGGTTTATGGGTTTGCTTGAAAAAATATGTATGAAAGGCAAAATAATATGATAAAAAAAACATTATAGAATAAAACAATAATTAAAAATTTCACAAATGGCATTCACATCTATCAAATATTCACCTAACTCTCATATAGTATCTTATTGGATTAATTAATAAAAAAATAATTTTATATATATATATATATATATATATATATACACATATACATATACATATATAAAAAAATTTATTAATAGATTTATATATATAGGGTTGTTTGATTTATTACAATTGACTAATTTATTTAGTCCAAAGACAAAATACAATTTTTTAAAATATTAAAATATATAAAAAATAATAATAATAAAGAAGAAAATTCACAGGGCAAATTTACATCATCTATCTAACCTTCAAGTAGAATTGTACTAGATGGTTTAATTTAAAAAAATATATATTATTTGTGCCAAAAGAAAAGAACATCTATGTAAAAAATTTAAATAGGATTGTTTATTACAATAAATGCCAAAAGGTAAAATAAATTCTCAATAAATAAATAAAATTCACATCTAGTGTGACAATTTTTTGAATATTGAATATTGTCACATTGTCACAAAATGACTAATCTTTTTAAACACTGTGCTTGTTAGCGAAATGAGGAGAAAACTGCCCTCTCTCACACAAAAAGACATCTCAGACTACGCCAAGACTCATACTGGAAGTGCAGATTTAGCAAACCGCCTCGACCGCCAAGTGACACACTTCACATGAATGAGGCAGCGTTTCCGTCAGCGCGAGACGCGTGTTAGCATCACGTACCGCTGACGTGACTGCCTTCAATGCCTTCAGCACGGCCTGCATATATCGTCTTGTTTCACAGAGCCATGTGTTTTTGCTCAAGTATGGAGATTTGATGCTTTAACATGATGTGAGCCAGCAGAACATCTGCACGTTCATTTGTTTTGTGCTTTTTGGTTGGCGTTCCTGACGGAGACTGAGCTACAGTGTGTTAAACAAGCCAATAAACCAAGCCTTCTGACATAGTGGATGAAATGGTAAATAATTCACGGCTAATCTACATTAAAACTGGATTGGATCTTAACGGGAATCTGAATGAGGACAGACTTTCATACCTGGGATCTTCAGGTTGAGATCACAAACACTTCCAACACTAGCGACGGACGCGGCTTTCTGACGGCGAGTGATGCTCTCGCGGATACGACCTTCTCCGCTCACTTTCACGCTGAACGGACTTCCTGTGAACACAGAGGGGCAATAAAAGTCACACGGTGACAGGAATAAACAAACTAGAAATCTCTTCTGCTCATCAAGCGTGCATTTATTTGATCAAAGAATACAGTTAAAAACAGTAAAATTGTGAATTATTATTACAATTCAAAATAAGTGTTTCCTTTTTGTGAATATTTTTAAAATGTAATTTATTCCTGTGATGCACAGCTGAATTTTCAGCATCATTCCTCCAGTCTTCAGCGTCACATGATCTTTCAGAAATCATTCTAATATGCTGATTTGCTGCTCAAGAAACATTTCTGATCATTATCAATGTTGAAAACAGTTTTTGCTGCTTCATATTTGTGGAAACTGCGATACATTTTATTTTTCAGGATTCTTTGATGAATAGAAAGTTCAAAAGAACAGCATTTATTCGAAATAAAAATCTTTTGTAAAATAAAAGTGTTTTTACTGTCATCATATAAAATTCAAATAATCTGTAAACAGGTCAAATTACACCTGTATATATAAGGCGTAAATAAAAGTAAATATTAAAAATGTATTTTATTTACTTGTGACAAAGAAAAATACAATGATTAAAGAATTATTTAAAAATAAAAGAAAAAAAAATCTATCATCCACCAACCTTCAAGTAGTATCTTTGTTTAATTAAAAAAAAAAGGATTAATTTATTTGTGCCGAAAGAAAAAAAAACATATACAAAATAAAATAGGATTGTTTCATTTATTATAATAAATTTATTTATTTTAGCCAAAAGGTAAAATAACTCCTAAAATAATTAAATGATAGATTAAAATCTAGTGTGAAGCAATTTTTTTGAACCGTTTGGTCTCTTTTGAAGAATATAGTCACTTGCGCTAGAAAATGACTAATATCATCTTATTAAACATTACACAATACGCTTAATACTCCATTTTGAATACTGCCAAATAATCTATAAACCAGTCAAATTACACCTTATTTGGAGCACATTATAAATGATATATAAGGTTTGAATGATGCTTTGAGCTACATCATCTCTTACCTGGGACGTGCTCTTCTGCAAATCTGATGGACACGATGTATGTGCCCGGCTCAGTGGGACAATATGAGACGCCACAAGTGCCGTCCTCCATGTCCTCTGTCTGTATGTCCACCTTACTGGGACCCTCGACGGACAGCGCCAAACCTCCATAACCTACGAAGACCGTTATGAGATTAGATGCATCATACTACTAACGTTAATAGAAACGCTACATGAATGCATGAGAAATGAATGCAGTCTTGATCCAACAAGACCAATTATGACAAGTTTAAAAGTGTGTGAGATATATTAAGGACTAATTGTATAAATATTTGAAGTTCTTTGGGTAAGCTGGAAATCATTTGCCGCTGTGGTACCAATTACCAGTTTTTTCTTTCTCATTTCCAGCTTTGAGCTGCTTTGCACAACCTGTTTGGATTATATTCTTAGCAATGAAGTGGATTTGAGAGCTTGAGAAAACATCATTAAGGGCCAGACGTTTGGCAGACGTGGTTTATTCAGTGCTTATGTAGCTCGGTTAGGAAGAAACACCTGCTCTGAACAGAAGTCATTTTCTACATTTAACATGAATATCTTTGTTATAAAGGAAGAGAGAGATGAGAGAGGAGGCACCCACATTCTGTAACGTTATGGTTATAAGCTCAAATCAAGCCTCTTATGTGTGGGAAACGTTTATATCATCTGCTTTGGGGAAAGAAGTTGATCTGCAGTAGCAGAGCAGTAAAGTTCTGGTTGCTTGGTTACTGAACTCATGAAAACTCTCAAAACTATGATATTTGATTCTCTAGATATGTTTTGAGGTGGGACTCAGAAAGAAAGAAAAATAGAAAAAACACAACAATAATTATAATATTTTGAAATAAAATGTATTAAATGAAATATAATAATAATAATAATAATAATAATAATAATAAATACTAAAATTATTAAAATAAAATTAAATAAAATCATCATAATATTATTTTTTAAATAAATTAGATATTACTGATTGCTATTGTGTGTTGTTATTAACAATATAACTTAAAGATAATGAATCAAACAAACAACAGTTATTAAACATCTAATAATTCATAATAATAAAACAATTAAATACATAACAAATATACCAACAACAATAGTTAAACAAATGAATTACTAAACAAATAATAATATTAGCTATTATTTTGATGATGATGATTATTATATTATTAAATTAAAAGATTAATAATTGTTATAATTAAATATATAAATAAAAAAAGATTATGATGATGATAATTATGATTATAATAATAATAATAGCTATTATTATTAAATTAATTAGTAAACATCATTAATAACCATAGCTATTATGTTGATGATGACTATTAAAATAAAGGAATTATATCAATTAAAAAGATGACATCGACGATAATAGCCATTATTAAAATTAATTAAAACTATTAACTATTATTAAAATGAATATATATGATGATGATGATGATGATGATGATTAAAATAAAAGAATGAATAATTGTACAAATTAAATGTATAAATAAAAAGATGATGATCACAGCGATAATAGTAGCTATTATTATTAAAATAATAAGAAAGAAAGAAAGAAAGAAAGAAAGAAAGAAAGAAAGAAAGAAAGAAAGAAAGAAAAAGAAAATGAAAGAAAGAAAGAAAGAAAAAGAAAATTCTGTCATTAGCTGACGGTAGCCATTGACTTCCATAGTACTTTTTTCTATACTATGAAAGTCAATGGCTACCGTCAGCTGTTTGGTTACCAACATTCTTCAAAATATACTCAGTTCCGTTCAACAGAAGAAAGAAACTCATAGAGGTCTGGAACAATGTGAGGATGAGTAAATGATGCCAGAATTTTCATTTTTGGCTGACTGTCCCTTTAATGTGAGAATAAAACTGTTTTCTCTCACCAGCTTCCCTTGTGTCCACCACAAAGTCGGCCATCTCGAATGTGCTTCCCTCCACCAGACCCTGACCGAAGACTTTGACTCTGCTGGCGTCTCCGATCTCAGACTGGACCACCATGATGGTGATGGGGCTGTTAGGAACGTGCCGCTCGTTCTTCTTGATGCTCACCAGGTGCTCTCCAACTTCTCTTGGGATGAAGGAAATGCCTGAAGAGGAAACGACCAACCATGTGTTATCAAAACCAAAGTCACAGTCCGCAGAAAGAAGCAGTGCACACACTCCAGACCTACCGATGTGGTTGTTGGGCTGCCTCTTGAGCAAACAGGGCTCGTCGTGACCAGACGGGGCTTTGATGCTCGCGGTGAGCAGACTGAGATCCGTCTCGTTGATATCCAGAGAGAAATCTGCAGCGGAGCCCAGCTTTACCTGGGACTTCCTCTTGTTGTCCTCTGAAGAGACCAAAAACACTTACTAGAGAAGTCAAGTAGACTAACTAGATAACTACACCGTAAAGGTAGGTTCCTTTACTACAAGCAGAGAACATTTTTATTTTACAGTAAAATACTGTTTAATGCACAGCTTTTGGAAGTGAAAAAGGACTAGTCATCTTATAATATACAGTGGATAAAAAACTGAATGACATTCCCAGAATTCCCTGTGACACTTCACATTTGATGGTTTTTCACCGTTTACTTCTTAGCTTTTTCTTATCAGTTATGTACATTAGGGTTTTGTGTTACATCATCTGTTGTTAAATTAACAGTTAATGGTGTTTTGTATTTGTGCATCTTCTATATAGTATTCAGTAAAGATGATGATGATGACAAGCAAATAAATTTTACAAAATAAATAATAGCTATTATTGTTGTTATTATTATTACTAAATCAAATGAATAATTATTCAATAAATATATACATAAAATGACAATAGTTATCGAATGAATGAAAGATTAATCAATAAAATAGCTTATTATTATTATTATTATTATCATCATGAATTAATCATTAATTAGCTGTTATTAAATAACAATAAGCAAAAAAATAAATAAAAAATAATAGCTATTATTATTAGTAGTAAATAAAATAAATAATTATTAAATAAATATATACATAAAAAGATTATAGTTAATCGAATGAATGAAAGATTAAACTATAAAATAGATATTTTTATTAGTATTATCATCAGTAATTAACTGTTATTAAATAATAATAATAATAAACATTAAAAATAATATATTATCATCATTCAATAAAATTAACAATTATTAGTATTAAATAAATATATAAATAAAATATGATAATAGTTAAGATAAATAAAGAAAACGGCTATTATTTTTTTATTAATAATAATAAATAAAACAACAAAACAACAACAACGATAATACTAATAATTATTATTATTAGCATTATTATTATTAAATAAAAAATAATTTAAATATATAATAACTACAGCTAGTATTAATAAATTAATATTTAATGCATTATTTTAGTGTCGTGTGTTACCATGCTGGTGTTTTATATTTGTTCATCTTCTATACATTAGTATTTGTGTCAGCTTGTGATGAACTTTGATTGATCAGGTGTCTCTCTCTACACCAGCTGTGCATTTTTTAATGGCTGTCAGTATTTTATAAAGGTAAAATGGATTTTAGTACTTCAATAGGTTGGTATATTAATGTTACAAATCAGTTAATGAAGTAAGTTTTGTAAATTTAAGGTAATTCCGTAAATCCCATAATGTTCCTATTGTATTTACGGTAAAGCTCTTGCTGCTGCTTTAATTACTGTAAATGTCACAGATGTTTTCTTTTTGAACCGTTCACCTGTGATCCTGGCGGTGAAGGGGCTTCCTGCGATGTGTTTGTCATTGTATCTGACGAGTATATTGTAATCTCCAGGCAGTGTGGGCAGGTATGAAACCGTGCAAGTGCCGTCTTTGTTGTCCACACAGTTGATCTCAGCCTTGGATGGACCTTCAATGGCCAAATCAAGGCCACCTGATGCAAAACACAAAACAACCAACACAGTTTTCAGAGAAATGTTATTTATATGGCCTGCGTAGCCATGACGTGTTCATACACACCGTCAGATGCATCTTCAGTGTAGATGGTGAACATGGCGGTTTTATTGGCGGTCCCACAGACCAGACCCGGGCCGTACGCCGTCACGTTAGGACTGTTTGAGCTGTTGACGTAGAACTGCAGAGGACTCTCTGATACGAAAACAAACAAGCACTGAATACAACGACAGAAACGTACATACAACAGAATGGAAACTTTATGAGGCGAAGCAGGTGCTGAACAGGAGTGTTTTGAGATTTAGAAATTATTTGCAGAGGTGTTTTTGTAATGAAATGCCATATACGTTGTTTATACAAAAGCATATGTGCAAACAACATATCTCATTTTTTCCTTTAAGTTAACAGTAGTTGAGAGAACTTCACAAAAGAAATGCCTGGATATATTTCACCCCAAAATAGAAACAGAATAAACAGAAAAAAAATATTTACAAAAATAAAAATATACATATTATATGTAGAAAATAAAAGAGAAATTTGGGAAATGAAAATGTATGTTCCTGGTAATTACAGGCCAAATTTCAATTATACTTTTAAAATAATTGTAATAATTTAAATTATATTTTTTAAACAATTTAAATAATGTCTTTTTTCTCTATTTTTCTTTTCTTTAATTTTGGGATGAAATATTACCTGGAGAGTTTTTGTGTGATTAACAGAGAAATCTGGAATAATTACAATAATATTAATATATTGTCATTATTTTTTATAACAAATGTGCCTTCATTTTGTGTGTCTTTGTCTGTTGTTTGTTTATAGGTTCAAATATATATGTTTTATTTGTTGCTTATTTGCAAATAAGAAAACCTAATAAAAATATTTAATTGAAAAAAAAAAACGGTTATAATTAACGAATAAAATAATGCGCAATATTGTTGTATACATGTATATTATTTTCATAATAAAATGTATTATTATTATTTATATATTTATTATTTATTAATGAGAAACCAACGAAAAAAGTCATTTACAAAAAAGAACAATAATAATAATAAATTAATAAAACAAAATAAAATAAAGACAAAATTATGAAAAATAATATCAAGAAACAAAGTTTAAAAAAAAAGTTAAAAATAAATAAAATATAAAATAAAAGCATTGAAAAATCATGCAAAACAATACGTTTAATCAGAATCTGGATAACCTCATGTAGACTGTAGGCACTCCTAACAGAGTGATTCAACTCTATAACACATTCTTCCTGCCTTACATGGAGAAATGAACCCATCACGTTCATGTGATATTGACTGAGCTTTCTGATGGCACTGGTCCAGCGACTGGAAAACACCAAACTCCAGCCTTAAAACAAGCACCTACATGAGGATCTGCAGCAACACAAGAGCTCCTCACAGATTCCTCACGGCTGAAGTCACCATGAGATCTTTCACCACGCTAAATAAATCAGCCTAAATCTACTGAAAGGTGAAGCCTTCTCAACCTTCACCCAAACGTTCCCATGCATCTCTGGGACTGAACCGAAGGCCTTAAAACAAATCCTGACAGCACATCCATCACACAGACTGTACGGCTCACTCTCACGCACACTTATGCACCTTTGTTCCAGTAGCTAGTATTAAAGGGTTAGTTCACCGAAAAATACAAAAAATCCTGTCATTTACTCATGTCATTCTGAACCCATATGACTTTCTATCTTTAGCACAGAATGAGATGCTTAGCAGAACGTCCAAGCTCTTTTCTGTGCAACAAAAGGTCACCATATGCTTTCATAATATGGAAAAATTGCAGCAAAATCACTAAAACTCATACGGGTTGAAGGTGAGCAAATTTTGTTTGTGTGAAATATTTCATAAACAGCAAAACAAGCAAACAAACAAACAAAAAACACTTTTGTATAGAAAAGAAATGGAAAATTAAATGGACATTTCTATTTCTTTTCTAAAAAAAGAAAGAAAAAGAAAATTAAGCATTTTTATTGCCATTAGGATTTTTTTTTGCATTGCTATACTACCAATTACACTTTTAAAATAATTTAAATTACACTTTTAAAATCGATTTAAATTTCATAAACTGCAAAAAAAGAATTTTTTTTAAAGAAAATTAAGTGAAATTTATATTTCTTTCCCAAAAATAGACAATTAAACCCTTTTATTCTAATTGAGATTTTTTTGCATTCTGATATACGACCACAAAGTTATACTTTTAAAATAATTTAAATATCTTTTAATGAATTTATTTTAATTAATTAAATTTTACTGTGATATACTACCAGAAAGTTAGTATATAAAATAATTTAATTTTAAACAATTTAATTATTTCATAAAGTAAATATAGTAATGAGTATTTTCTAAAAAAAAGAAAGATTTATTTGCAATGTGATATACTACCACAGAGTTATACTTTTAAAATAATTTAAATAATTCCTTTTTTCCCTTTGAGTTTGGGGTGAAATATAATAATTAATAAAATATATATTGAATTATATTTATAAGTTACTTATAAGTTATTAAGTTACCAGTTTATATTTTAATAATACCAATAATAATACTAAACAGCAGTTTTGATGTTGTATTATGAGCAGATGGTGTCTGGCGTCTGACCTGGGATGTGTGTCCCGTTGTATTTAATGTGCATTTCATGGAGTCCAGCCTCTGTGGGCGCGTACTTCACCGTGACGGTCCCGTCTTTGTTGTCGATGATCTCCGGTTGGGCGGTTTTACCTGACGGCATGTGAACCTCACCTGGAAGACAAACATTAAGAGTTTAGAACAAATATCACTGCTGATATACAGGACAACACTTCTAGTGCGAAACGCCTTATGAGTGAATGTCACAGAATGGAAAATGTCTAGTATATTTCATGTCCAAAAAATATATGATTTGTATTATTATACTATTATATTATTTTGTTAAAAAAAAAAAAATTTGTATTGTATCTTTGTGTGTTAAACACATAAATAAAAGTTGTAAAATATATTTGAGGTTTATTTTGCATTACAGTAATGAGAATTTGGAGAACGTAGGCTTATAGTTTCATGAAAAAAAAAAAAGAATTGGTCTTCTGCAATCCCTCACCTGTGATTTCCCCCTTCCTAAAGGTGAAGGGAATCACCATATCGAAAGGCCTGTACCCCGTCCCGTTCACACTGTTGGCAGGAATATACGCGCCATCTGTAACCTGTGAGGCAGAAATCTGAGTAAATGAGAGCGGACGCTACAAACGCATCCGTTACAACGGCCTGTCAAACATTTCCACGTTTAGTCAGTCTGTGCGATCCATTCTGAAAGCCAGAGCGCTGTGGACGAGAACAGACATTAACAGCCCAGTGAATCAGCCACAGCAGAAGACAAACGTGTGTTAGACACCAAACGCTGGAAGACAGAGATCGGCCCCCAGCACACCTGACAAAGCAGAGAGGGGAGAAAAATCCCCGAAACCATGGTAAACTTCTGAGAAATAAGAAGAATGATAGTGTGCATAGAAGGAAACATGTTGAGACACCCAAGACAGATAAACGACACCAGGAAGATGCATTACTGATAAATGACACTTTCTCTTTTACCCTATTTCACCTGGAGGGAATGAGGTAATCACCATGACGAGACTTACAACTGTGTGTTACTCTATCAGTACCAAATCAAAACCTAGTGAGCTGACTAACTAGACAGCACTTTATGGGACTATAACAGCTCAATTATGCTCTCTAATACGCTTCATTTCAGTGTCTTCTAAGTGTCCTTAGCTAAGAAGCCAACCCCAGAATTTATAAATGCATCCCAAATTATAAATAAACCATTCAATACTGACAACAATCACTAAAAATAGTTAAATATAAATAAATTGTACTGTTTTACCTATATTTTGGTTTTACATATACTACTGCTCAAAGATTTGGGGCTGGTAAGATTTCTGCTTTTGAAGGAAGTCTCATCTGCTCACCAAGGCTGCATTTATTTGACTAAAAATACAGTTAAAACTGTAAAATTTTGAAATATTATTACATTTGAAAATAGCCGATTTCTATTTTAATATATAGTAAAATGTAATTTATTCCTGTGATCAAAGCTGAATTTTCAGCATCATTACTCCAGTCTTCAGTGTCACATGATCTTCAGAAATCATTCTAATATGCTGATTTGAAACATTTCTTATTATCAACGTAGAATTGTAGTGGAAACGTTGATACATTTTATCTTTCAGGATTCTTTGATGAATATAAAGTTCAAAAGAACAGGATTTATTTGAAATAGAAATCATTTGCAACATTATAAATGCCTTTACGGTCACTTTTGCTTAAATGAACGCATCGTTGTGGAATAAAAGTATTAATTTCTTACATTTTTGTGAACAGTAGTGTATATTTTTAAAGCCAAGAGTGTCAAGCGTTTCACAGATCTGCTTTGTGGTTTTGGAAATGACGTCTCTTAAACTTTATGAACAAAACTACATCAGGGCGGGAGAGTTCTGCACAGACCGAGATTAATGTCTTAATAATGACCAATCTAAACCCGGTGTCTGCTCCAAACAAAACTAGATCAGTCTAAACACACAGGAGTAGAGTTTCCCTCTGCTTCTGTCATCAATGCAGCACACTAGTGGGAAATCCAGAGCGTGTTCAAGACGAGAGAGAGAGAGAGAAGGAAACAACTCCATTCATTCCCTGCAAAAAACAATGCTTGAGTGGACAAAAACGAGGAGGAACTGAACAGAAACCCGGTTAAACAAAGGATAGAAGGTCAAGAAAAGACATCAGGACAGAGAGGAGTCTGGCTGGAAGCGAAGGGTGACGTGGCGAGACGTGTGTCTTTGTACCCAGGGCTGGAAGCCGACGCCTGGTGCTGCCTTCTGCTGTTGGACTGACTGCTGCTGCTGCATCATGGGAACTTCATCTGTTGCCTGGGAAATGATATGTATGGACATGAATTTTCAGATACACGAGGAACACAAAGAAACATACTAAAACACACACGGCAGATTGGGCCAATCCTGTTGGAAAGGAGTTGTTGCTGCTGCGGTGGTGGTAACAGAACTCCATGTGTTACTGTGCTAACAGGTAGACAGACGTGTTAACATTATAACTATAACGAAGTCAAACAGTTTACATAAACATCTGCTATCCCCACCTGAGTAGGGCTGCACAATTTGGATTGTTTCTGTTAAAAACTGTGATTGGGATTAAAAATAAATAAATAAATACAATTTTGCCCAGAATTATGTAATATTAATCTGACTATGAAATAATAATAATAAATATTCAATAGTCATATTGATATATAATTACAACATTTTTGGCCAAATTGTGCAGCAATTGAAAATTAAAACTTAATTAATTAATGCAACTATACACTAAATATATATTTTATGATTTTTTATATTACAGTAGAATATATTACACTAATTTTATTATTATGAATAATAATAATAATAATAATAATAATATTTAATCATCATATTGATATATAATACCTTTTTTGTGCCAAACAGCAGCAACTGAAAATGAAAAAGTAAATAAAGTAATAATACAGCTATAAACAACATGTAAATATTTCAAATTTATTGTAAAATTGTTGTTTTTCTTAAATACATTTTTTACAGTAAAATATATTACACTAGTAATCTCTCTTATTGTTTAATAGTTTACTTTACTACGATTATTATTATTAATTTTTTTAATACTATTTACCATTAAGATTTCTTATTAATTTTATTATTATTATTAATAATAAAACTACAAAAAAATAAGGAATATCACTGCTGTAATATATTTTACTGTAAAATAAGAGTATTAAAGAAAAAAATAAATTTTACGATAAACATTTAACTTTTAAATTCTAATACTTACAGCTGCCTTAAACAGTGCCTGTAATTAATTAAATCACAGCCATATCACCATTTCAATTTATTGTGCAGCTCTGAGAATGCATTATGCTTTTAATTGTGTTATGAATTACGTTTGAGACAGTCAGGAACACAAGGATGCATGAAATCGAGCTTGCATTGCTAGAAGCGTTTGCGTGTATGTTTTGGGCCTAAATCAAAACCTTAACGTAACGTCACCAGATATGAAAACAATAATGAAAAGAGTGCGATCATTTGTCTTGATAATGCAAAGAAACTACATCTTAATACAGGAAGAGCCCATACGAGCTGAAACAATGAACTCCAGATGAGGATATGATGACACAAAGCGCTGAACCTTTCAAACCGGCCCATATCTATTCCAGCGCCTTAAAACCTCAAGTCTAATCTTTTTTTTTTTTTTTTTAATTCAATATGGTTCTCCTTAAGAGCGGATGTTATCAGCGTTTGCTTCTCACCATGACTTTGAAGGGGCTCCTGGGGATGTTCTCCCCTCCAAAGCGCACGTAAATAACGTAGGTCCCGGGTTTAGGAGCCATGTAGAAGATGTCAAAGGTCCCGTCCACATTCTCGATGACTTCAGCTTCCACCTCAGTGCCGTCTGGAGTGACGACGATGCAGGAGACCTTGCCCTTCCCTGCTCCTTTAGTGTTCACCACAAACCCGACCTCCTCTCCGATGCCGATGGTCGGCCCAATGCCAAGTCCTGCAGGACACAGATCCGATGCTCGTGTATGAGCGATTGCATCAGTGAACATTTACTAAAGGACTGTTTTTGGAGATTTCACTCCCATTACAGAAACATTTCCTCTCTGTGTTTTCAATTTTGAAATCTGAGATTGTTGTGATTTAAAAGCTTTTAACAGATTTTAAGGTCAGTTGTTATTGTGGCGGAACATGTTTTGAATATACCGTTTTTTCTCCCACTTATCTGTTTAAGCTTGGTCAAGTTGGTCGAGATTTGTAAATATATAAGTAAGTAATATTCAGCACAAATGAGTATTTTGACCTATTACAAAAAAATACTAGTAGCTCAAGGAGGACCTAAAATCTAATCTTTGTATTCAAACTAAAAAGCATTTCCAAAAAGAAAATCCAAACCACATATAAATGTGGTTTGAACCATAAAAATAAAAAAAATAAAAATTAATTTTTTCATAGTTATTCAGCCTACAAATGAGAAAGATTTGCTTCATGTCTAAAAAAAAAAAAAAAAGTTAAATAAATTATTATATATATATATATATAAGTGCCATCAAACGATTAATCGCATTTAAAATAAAAGTTTTTGTTAACATATATATCTGAAATATCAAATAAAAATGTAACTAAATAATGTTAATTAAAAAAAAAAAAAAAAAAAAAAAAAAAAAAAAATTAAAAAAAAACAAAAATACATAGATGTATACATATATCTACATATACATATATACAATTTTCTATAAACAATATCTAATTTATATATTTATTTATCAATATTATTTAAATGTATATAATTTTTTATTTTTAACAATAATATAAAAAGAAAAATACAATAAATATAAATTATATTATTTTAATATTTAACTACATGTATGTATATATGCATATATACATATATGCATTTATACATATATACACACACACACACACACACACACATTCACACACAAAGAAAAATTTACATTAATATTGTTGACATTAACATTAATAGAAACTATATAAAGTTAAATATATAATACTATAAAATATATTAAACTATATAATAAATAATATTTTTAAATAAAATAAAACAAATATATAAATATTTATTATCTAAATATACATTGGCTGTGTGTCTAAACAAAGCTTAAAAATGGGTGGACAGTGAGTGCAGACGTACCCGTGACTGTACACTTGCTGGCGTCTCCTGTAGCGCTCGCTCTCACTCTATATGGAGAAGTGGGGATCTCATCTCCGCCGTACTTGATCACAATAGTATAACGGCCCACCTTGTCCGGCACGTAAGACACTTTGTAGGTTCCATCCCGGTTGTCCTGTATGTTGGCTTTCTTGGGTTTACCATCCTGATCCTGAAACACATGAAAAACCTTATGAAACGGCTGCAGGACCTCCAACCTCCTGGAACAGAGACAGCGAGATGCAGAGGTCCTCAGATGAACCGAGAAGCAGTTTAAAAATATTATAAATGACACCGAGAGGAGCTTTATCAACAAGAAATGAGACAGGAGGAAGAGGATCAAATTCCCTCTGGATTTCCAGCTGCAGTTCGGCTTTCATCAGACATCCATTTATCTCACTGCTGGCCTGCTGCTTCGGTCTTGGTGAAATATATATATATATATATATATATATGGAGTTTGAAACTCACGTATTAAAAAATACTATATAATAAATGACTATACTACATACTAAATTACTATATTAAAAAATAAATAAATATATATATATATACATATATATATATAAATACATATTAAGTTAATATTACAGTATTTTATGTGTATAATAATCATTTAAAATTGACATTTTTATAAAAATACTGTATAATAAATTACAATATTTTAAAACTACTAACAATACTAATATTAAAAAAAAAATTATTATATAATTAAAAAATTATATTTTTATAAAAATACACTATTATAATATTATTAAAATACTAACAATACTAAATCATATTACTAATAATGTAATATAATATAAATTCTATAATTATACAATTTAAAACTTATTAAATAAAATATACAATAACTTTAAAATACTAATAATACTAACAAAAATACTAATAATAAAATATATAATATAATATAATATAATAAAACATACAACCACCAATCAAAAATTATAATAATTACAGAATAATAGAATAATTAAGACTTCTTTTAATGTTTTTGTCACCAGAGCAGTTACTCAAAAGATAAAACAACAAGAGAAAGACGTATGAAAGATATATTTTGCAATATGCTGCTATGTGATACTTTCAGAACCTTATTCATCTTTTCCATTGCCAGTCAGAAACTAAATCTAAATGTGATTTCACAGTCTGTTGGCTGACTGAAAACATTCAAATCAACCTCAAACACGTTGATAACAATCAGGCATATTCAAATGTTAATCCACTTCTTCAAACCACATGAGGAAGACGAGAGTGAAGATGGCAGGACTCACAGTGATCTGCACAGACAGCTGGCCCTCGCCGGCGTCTTTGGCATCGATGGTGAACTCCACAGGGAAGCTGGCCGAGAGGCCGGTGGTCAGGCCGGGGCCGCTGGCACGCACCTTACTGGCATCATGAGTGGGCTGAACACGCAGTTTGAACGGACTGAAAGAGACATTTGAAGGACTGGTTTGATCTAGTGAACGCTAGCACTCACAGCGGCTGTGAACTGAGCGAGTGAATCTGACACAAGTTACCTGCGTGGAACTTCCTCGTCTGCGTATTTGACCGCGACGGAGTACGAGCCCTCCACAGACGGTGTGTAGGCCACTGTGTGTGTGCCGTCACCATTGTCTGTGACTTCAACTGGGTCGGCTATACCTGCAAACAACAACCACCCAGTAATATGATCAGTACAGAATTTGTTGCACAAAGTTGACAAACAATAAATAAAAAAATAAAAAATCAATCAATCATTTAAGAACATAATGTGCAGTAAGCTAGTATTTAATTCAGAACAAAGCAAAAAAAAAAACTATAAATTAAATAAATATATACATGAATAAATATGTTTAAGCGTATATAGTGTAATATGATAGTATTTAAGAGCAAAGCCAATAAATAAATATTTAAACCAAATAAATAGTTACTATTAATAAATAAAGTGTTTACATAGATACTGTGCATTATTGCACTTTTTAATGCAGAACAAAATGAAACTCAAAAACCAAGCCTCAAAAATAAATAAAGTTTCTACATATATACGGTGCAGTAAGCTGGTGTTTAATTCATGATACAATAAATAAATATACAAACAATAAAAAATCAATCATTTAAGAACATAATGTGCAGTAAGCTAGTATTTAATTCAGAACAAAGCAAAAAAAAAAACTATAAATTAAATAAATATATACATGAATAAATATGTTTAAGCGTATATAGTGTAATATGATAGTATTTAAGAGCAAAGCCAATAAATAAATATTTAAACCAAATAAATAGTTACTATTAATAAATAAAGTGTTTACATAGATACTGTGCATTATTGCACTTTTTAATGCAGAACAAAATGAAACTCAAAAACCAAGCCTCAAAAATAAATAAAGTTTCTACATATATACGGTGCAGTAAGCTGGTGTTTAATTCATGATACAATAAATAAATATACAAACAAATAAATAAATAAATAGATTGTTTACCAAAATGCTCTGCAGTATGCCAGTATTTAATTCAGAAAAATAAATAAATAAATAAACAATAAAAATACATTTAAAAGCCCAACAAAAAGAAAAAAGGCAGTGTCGTTTCATGCACAAGCCTCATGTAAATGTTTGTACCTTTAGGTCCAGTTACGGCCACAGAGAGAGGAGCGACACCAGCTTTACTGCAGTCCACAGTGAAGGATTGTGGGACTTTAGCTCTCACTCCAGAACCGACACCAGGCCCAGAGATCTTCACCTTACTGGAGTCAACAACATCCTTCACCGGCACTTTAAACGGGCTTCCTACAATGCAAACAAAAATAAACCCTTTTACATTCAGACACTGACTAGTGCGCCCATGCACACTCATGCAATTCAAAAGGAGCTGTAATAAGACAAGGTGGATAAATAAGATTTACACAAAGCGGGTGAGAAGATAAACAAAATAAGTCAATGACAAGTAAAAACAAGCCAATAATGACAACTAAAGCAAGGTTTTTATATATTGTCGTTTGCAGAAACAGGTTGCCACAATGCTAGCATGTTTTATTCACTGCTATGCAGTTTCTTACGTATTCTAAGAGAGTTTGGACTTTGTTTCCACAAGCCTGTAGTCTGAGAACTCAACAACTCCTCTAAAGTATTGCTCTAGTAACTTCTACAGACTTGATTTAAACAATCTGGAAGTGGCATGCATGTGGGAGAATCGCACTCTGTGGTCTTGGCGCGGTGAATGTTTTCACTGAAACGCGAGCTCATAATGTCCAGCAGTGAGAATGTGGTAGCTGCTCTCCTCAGATCCACGAGATCTCGCTTCCCGGGTGTAATACTAATGAAAACAAATTTGTGGCATAATTCAAGTAGTTTTGCAGGGGGAAACTGGGACTCTGGTTAAAAACATGTCAAGTTGCTTCTCTCCAAGCTCCAGTAATGCTTTCTTCAGGTCTGGACTTTAAGTGGTGCACAGCGGATAAAAACAGAGGCAGTTTCACGTACCGGAAATGTGCTGTCCTCCATACGTGATGTTGACGTCATACAGTCCAGGCACATACGGGGTGTATTCAACATTACAGCTGCCATCTTTGTTATCTTTGCAGGACATTTTCGACTCAGATGGACCTTCTATGGTTATTCCCAATCCACCAATACCCGCTCCTCTGTACGGATCAAAAGACGGTTGGTTAGACAGTATCAAACAGTCATTTTAGTATGTTTTTGATAATATACAGAACAAGATCTAAACCACTGTTCAAAAGTCTGAAGTTGGTAAGATTTTATTATTTTTTATTTAATGTTTTTGAAAGTCTTATGTTCATTTATTTGATCAAAAATACAGTGAAAGCAGTAATAGTGTAATATTACAATTACAAAAAAATTTAAAATAAATAAAATATTACAACAGTGTAATGTTAGTATCATTGATAGTATTTATTTAAAATTTTAGTCATTTGTTTGGTAAATTGTTTGTCATTTTTAGTATTTTTATTTTTTAAATATGTATATGTATTTTTTATTCTTTTTTTTTTTAGGTTTTAGTTACTGTATTTCAGTTAGTTGCCAAGGAAATATTTCACATTTTCATTTAGTTTAACTAAAATAAGTTTATAAAATAAGGTACTTTTTTTCAGTTAAAGTTTATTTCAAGTTATGAAAATGCTTTAGTTTTAGTTAACTATAATAACCCTGATTTAAAATGACTTTTCTATTTGAATATGTATTAAAATGTAATTTATTCCTGTGATGCGCAGCTGTATTTTCAGCATCATTCCTCCAGTCTTCAGTGTCACATGATCTTCAGAAATCATTCTAATATGCTGATTTGCTGCTCAAGAAACATTTCTGATTATTATCAATGTTGAAAACAGTTGTGCCGTTTCATATTTTGGTGGAAATCGTGATACATTTAATTATCTGATGACTAGAAAGTGCAAAAGAACATTTATTTAAAATGTTTAAATTTTTTAAACATTTTTGTAACACTATAAAAATGTCTTTATTGTCACATAAATACATTTATTGCATCCTTGACGATAAAAAAAAAAAGAAAAAGTACTAAGCCCAAACTTTTGAACGGTAGTGCAGGTAAATGTAACGGTTAAACTAAATTACAAATGTATGATTTTTTTTAAAGCTCTTTCACCTGGTGACGATGGAGAACTTGTTGGGTTTGTCGGTCAGTGCTTCTTCCAGACCCGGGCCCTTGGCCTGCACACGTGAGGGGTCACAGCCCTCGCCCACCCCAACCTGGAACGGGCTCTTTGGAACCGGAGTCTCATCGTAGAGAACCTCCACACTGTGGATTCCTGCGGCAAGCAGACAAAAGACAATCACACTCAGCTTCTAAGAAAGAAAAACAATGGTTTTTCCTGTAGCGTCTTGCTTTAATCAAACACTGCCGTGCTGCTGCTGAGAACGAGCCTGTCACCTCAGAAATTTCGCCATATTAGCAGTATTTTCTGGCAAGCTATACTGCTGTCCTTCAAAATACACAAGTACATGATGAAACCTGTAACGTTCCTGTAGCTCAAACAGTACAGCATGGCGCTATTATGAAAACTGTGGGTTAAATTCTCAGGGAATGCATGCACTGATAAAACATATTGCTTGCATTACATTCAGTTCGTCGCTTGGATAAAAACATCTGCCAAGAGCATGAATGTAACGTAAACCAGCATTTGATGGGAAGAAACAGCCAATTCTGAAGAAAATGCGATACAATTGGTTGGCCATGATGACATCCACTTGGATCAATGAATTAATGAATGAATGAATTAATTAATTAATAAATAACATAGGAGGTCAACCGGATGGATGGATAGATGGAAAAATAAAATAAAATAAAAAAATAAAATAAAACATAGGACTGTCCAGGAAATTGGAGTAATAAATAAATAAAATAATCCTGGCCATTCAATTGTATTAGTAAGTAAATAAAAAAATAAGCATGCTATCCAGGCCATCCAATTGGACCTTGGATTAAAAATAGATAAACAAACAAACAAAGAGTCCAGACCATCCAATTGGATCTTGGATTATATAAATAAATAAATATCTTAAGTAAATACTCTGCAGTAGGCCAGTATTGAATGAATGAATGAATGACATAAGATTTTTCAGGCCATTTAAGTAGATGTTGTGAATTGTACCATTCTCAAACGGAGTGTATTCCACGTTGTAAGTCCCGTCACTGTTGTCACTAATAACACAGTCTGTAGCAGCACCCGACGGGTTCTTCACATGAGCTTTAATGTGTTTCCCACCAACTTTGGTCAAAGCTTGTGCATCCACGGTGAAGTCGGTCGTGGCCTCCCTGAAAACGCCTGCAGACCAGAGAGGAAAAGCACACAGACTCATTGAAGATGTCTCAGAAAACAATGCATCTCCTCTATAAAAACGTCATCGCCTTCTAATTAAAATCATCTTTCAGCAAAATTGTTTTTCAGGGCCATCTTGCACTGAAGGATTACATTACAAAGACAGGTTGCAAGACAGGTTGAGATGCATTAATTCTTAAAGGGGTCCTATTATGCTCTTTTACAAAGTCTTGATTTTGTTTTGGGGTGTACTAGAACAGGCTCTCATAGGTTGTTCGAAAAACAAATTTTTCACATAGTTTACATTATTACAAACTCTCCCCAGTCTGGCATGAACGGCTCGAATAGTTCCTGTCTCAAATGAAGGCCGCCTTCTGAAATACGAAATGTGCTGTGATTGGTTAGCTGGGCCAGTGTGTGTTGTGATTGGCAGCACTCGGTGCCTGGTCGGGAAATGTCATGACTCTTACCATAGCCGCCTGCGAGCTTCAGAGTAAATATTACGTCAAAATCAAATCAATTTGAGGCAATTTAAACCCGGATGATTGTAACCACTCTAAGTTCGTCTGCCTTGGGAAAGCTAGCAAGTCTCAGACATAGTGATAACACTCGTTGCCTTCTCTAGTGCAGCTCAGGTCTCGTCCCATTCGTCGATATTTGTGATATCACAAATCCCGGAAAAAGGGGTCCTATTATGCTCTTTTACAAAGTCTTGATTTTGTTTTGGGATGTACTAGAACAGGCTCTCATAGGTTGTTCGAAAAACAAATTTTTCACATAGTTTACATTATTACAAACTCTCCCCAGTCTGACATGAACGGCTCGAATAGTTCCTGTCTCAAATGAAGGCCGCCTTCTGAAATACGAAATGTGCTGTGATTGGTTAGCTGGGCCAGTGTGTGTTGTGATTGGCAGCACTCGGTGCCTGGTCGGGAAATGTCATGAGTCTTACCATAGCCGCCTGCGAGCTTCAGAGTAAATATTACGTCAAAATCAAATCAATTTGAGGCGATTTAAACCCGGATGATTGTAACCACTCTAAGTTTGTCTGCTTTGGGAAAGCTAGCGTGTCTCCGACATAGTGATAACACTCGTTGCCTTCTCTAGTGCAGCTCAGGTCTCGTCCCATTCGTCGATATTTGTGATATCACAAATCCCGGAAAATATGTGTTGTAGTCCAAACGAGTCGTTTGTTGTAGTTTTTGAAAAGTGATTTCTGTTGAATAAAATATCTCCAAAGTGGACTTTGAGCTTTGTAACTTTGCAGATCTTTTTTATGCTCAAACAGCAACATTACAGACTAACTAAAGTTTTCTGAAATACGAAATGTGCTGTGATTGGTTAGCTGGGCCAGTGTGTGTTGTGATTGGCAGCACTCGGTGCCTGGTCGGGAAATGTCATGACTCTTACCATAGCCGCCTGCGAGCTTCAGAGTAAATATTACGTCAAAATCAAATCAATTTGAGGCAATTTAAACCCGGATGATTGTAACCACTCTAAGTTCGTCTGCCTTGGGAAAGCTAGCAAGTCTCAGACATAGTGATAACACTCGTTGCCTTCTCTAGTGCAGCTCAGGTCTCGTCCCATTCGTCGATATTTGTGATATCACAAATCCCGGAAAATATGTGTTGTAGTCCAAACGAGTCGTTTGTTGTAGTTTTTGAAAAGTGGACTTTGAGCTTTGTAACTTTGCAGATCTTTTTTTATGCTCAAACAGCAACATTACAGACTAACTAAAGTTGAAAAAGTGAAAAAGCATAATAGGACCCCTTTAAAAGTGAACATGAAATGGTGTTTGTAACCCATTTAGACTTGATATTTATGTCAATACCTTTTCCTGCAACTCCTGGTCCAAACACCTTCACTTTGCTGGTATCGACAGCCGGATCCACGTTCACTTTGGCGGGGAAGTTGGGGACAGTCTTCCCTCCATACTTCAGCAGTAGCGTGTACATACCCGCCGTCAGCGGGACGTAGGTGACCGTGTAGGTCCCGTCCTTGTTGTCCAGAACTTCAGTCTTGGCTTTCACTCCAGAATCAGACTCGGCCTCCAGCGTCAACTGGCCCGGTCCAGCTTTGGCGCAGTCGACGTTCAGCACACTGGTCTCGCCTACTTTGCCTCGTTTCAGCCCGGAGCCGGACGCCACCACTTTGGTGGGATCAAACGGGTATTGGATGTCAGCGTGGAAAGGCGAGCCGGGAATGTGTACGTCCTCGAAGAGAATGTTGATTAGATAAGCTCCGGGTTCGGTGGGGAGGTACGACACAGAGCAGGTGCCGTCGCCATTGTCAGAGCACTCCATTTTGGCTTCGGTTGGGCCCTCGACGGTAAGACCGAGTCCACCGGTTCCAGCGCCCTTGGTGTCAATGGTAAACTCAGCAGGGCTCGCCACAAGACCACCCTTCAATCCTGGACCAAACGCTTTGACCTGTACAGACAGAACCACCAAGTTACGACCTCTTCTCTTCTAAAAGTAGTCAAATCACGCTTTCACTTCAGCATACCTTGCTGGGATCAGGAGGCAGCATGGCTTCAACTGAGAAAGGGCTTCCTGGAACTGGATTGCCATCATAAACGACCTCCACAACGTAGGCGCCCTCCTCTTTGGGGATGTACTTCACCAGACTGGCTCCTTTACCAGGTTGAGGCTCCACGACGCAGGGCACAGACTTCCCTGATGGGCTGGTGATCTTGACTTCCAGTTTGCCTTGTCCACCTGCTCCTCTTGTACCAACAGCAAACTCTTGATCCTCAGCCACTTGCACTCCTGGAATAAAACATTAAATGGGGTTTCATTATTAAATAAAATCTACATTAAATTACATTGCATTAATAAAATAAAATAAAATTTACTTGTATAAAAATTAACTAAAAATAAATAAACAATTTTCCAGGCCATCCAGTAGGACCTTGGATTAAAATTTAAATACTTATCAAATATAAATATATTTAAATAAACAGATTTAAATAAATAAATAAAATAACATAGGATTGCATAAAATAACACAGGCCATCCAATAAACAAATAAATAAATAAAAAACAGAGGATTGTCCAAAATTAAAATAAATAAATAAAATACACAAATTTCCTGGCCAACCACTGAAACTTGGATTCAAATTTAAATATTAAAAATAAATATGTAAAATAAATAAATAAACAAAAACAATTTTCCATGCCATCCAGGAGGATCTTGGATAAAATTTTCAATATTTATTATTAAATAAATATATTTAAATCAATCAATAAATAAATTAAATAGGATTGCATAAAACAACACAGTCCATTCAATAAATAAATAGCTTAAAATAAATAAACATAGGATTGACCAAAATTTAAAAAATGAAAATACAAATTTTCCAGGCCATCCACTGAAACGTGAATTTAAATAAATAAATAAATAAAAAATAAATAAATAAATAACATACGATTTTCCAGGCCATTCACTTGGATCTTGCTAAGGTCCAATGGAGCAGCAACACCAACAGCGAAGGGGCTTTTAGAAATGGGGTCACCACCGAAGGTCACAGTTATCACCATCTCTCCCTGAATTGGTACAGCAAAGCAGAATGATGATGCCAGATGATAAATAGTGAAAGATGTTCAATTCACCCATTTAAATTCCTTGAACGGCTTTTAAATCTGTGATTCTCCATTGCAGATCCCTACCTGCTGGACTGGTGTGTACTTGACGGTGTGGGAATAGTCATAGTTGTCAATGATCTCAAAGCCTTGAACGGGCTGTCCTTTATTAGGTCCAGAAAACTGCACGTCCAGAGGAGCTTTGCCAGCTCCTTTGGTGTAAACGGTGAAGTGTGTTGGTTTTCCACTCTCCACACCTGAGGGTAGGGTACAAAGACACCGCATGGGAAAATTAACAGAGACTCAAAAGTCATCCAGTTAAACCCAGATTCTTGATGAGATCAAACCGTTTATCATCAAATGCAACATCAAACCTGCTCGGGCGAGTCCTGGTCCCTCTGCCTTCACTTTGGAGGCGTCATGTGAGGGATCCACTATAACACGGAACGGACTGGCCGGGATTTCCTGAAATGGATCATTCAAAATGAAAACACCATATTTGCAAAGATTCAGAAATCTTATTTTCTTGGATTAAAATGTAATTAAATTAATAAATGAATAAAGACAGACATAGGATAGCTCTGGCCATCCAATTGTATCTTGCATTAAAATATAAATAAATACATACATAAATAAAATTATAACATGATTTTCCAATCCATTTGAACAATAAATTAAAATCAAATAAAAATAAATCAAATAAAAATAAAATAAATTTAATGACACTTTAACATGGCATGTCCTGAAACGGATCATTTTAAAATGAAAACACCATATTTTCAAAGATTCAGATATCATATTTTCTTGGATTAAAATGTAATTAAATGAATAAATACAGACATAGGATTGTTCTGGCCATCCAATTGTATCTTGCATTACAGTAAAATATAAATAAATAAATAAATAAATAATAAATAAAATTATAACAATTTTCCAATATACTTGAACAATTAAATTTAAATTTAAATTAAATTAAATTGAATGATACTTTAACATGGAATGTCCCGAAACAGATCATTTAAAATGAAAACACCATATTTTCAATAAATAAAATTATAACAATTTTCCAATATACTTGAACAATTAAATTTAAATTTAAATTAAATTGAATGATACTTTAACATGGAATGTCCCGAAACAGATCATTTAAAATGAAAACACCATATTTTCAAAGATTCAATAATCATGTTTTCTACAAATCTCTATGGTAGTAACTCACTTGATCAGTAAAAAGGACTTTGATTGTGAGGCGTCCGGCTCCAGGAGGAATATATTTGACAGTGATGGTGTCATTGGCATTGGGAATGATGTCAAAATCAACATCCTCTTCATTATCGCTGATAACATTAGCTTCACACTTGATTCCAACACTGACGTCACCTGAAAAACCACCAACACCAGAAACACTGTGTGTAATTCACACTTGAAAAAGCAGTGGTTTTGGTGAATGCAGTGAATGTGCTTTACCTTCTCCAGCTTCTGTGCAGTCCACGGTGAAGTGTGTCGGCTCGTGAGCTTTCAGTCCGCTTCTCTCCAGTCCTGGACCAAACACTTTGACTTTGTGAGGGTGGCATCCCTTTCCAACATTCACCTAATGGAATAAAGCCTCCTGAATGTTAATTACAGCAAGTAGTGTTGCTAGAGAATGAAAAATAGCACATTTTAAGAGTATAAAAATAAATAATGCAAATCAAGTCGAAGAGCATTTGATGCATTTTCAGGGTGCAGAAAGTCACTTAGCATTATTAAAGTTAGTATTTGAAGCTTTTACAAATATTTTTTGTTACTTTTCCAATTCGTTCAAGACAACCGGGAACATGTAAATGAAACACATCCGTTTCCAGTGTCTTTGGCCTCGACGGTGAACTCTGCAGGTTTGTTTATGATACAGCCGGTCTTCTCCAGTCCTGGTCCATAAGCCCTGACCTACAAACAAGTACATACTGTATGTGAAAAACAAACTATCTAATAACCTAGTAAATGCACAAATGCAATGTCCTTTATTTTGGATTTGCTGGGATTTGTTTGCGCTTTTTGCAACAACAATACAATAATTGAAGTAGATTTATATTGTAATTGTTTAATGCATTTTATTTCTTTATTTCTGAATTATTGTTTTTTATTTGTTCTGTTGCACTAGGATGTTTGTGCTTATGCAGTAAAATAAATACTCTTTGAACAATGATGGAGAATTCTCCTAATGACAAGTTAAACAGAAGAAAGAAATATATTATAATTTTTTTTTAAATAAAAGGCATTTGAATCCAAACTACTGATTAAAAAATAAAATAAAATGTTTGCCAGTATTTTAAAACAAAATACATTTTTGCTCGTACTGATAATCTTAAGAAACATGCAATGCAATAACAAATCAAAACATATTCTATGTAAAACAGATTTAATAAATAAGTGTTTTGTTTTTATATACACACACACACATACATATATATTTATTCTCAAGAGGTAATATCAATATTGTATTTTTTTTTTTTTTTCATTAATAATTCAGTCAAACTTATTTGTACTTCATGCTTTATTAGAAATTAAATATAAAAAAATTTTTTTTTTATATTAAATCAAGTTTGATCATATTTTTTCCATTCTTCTTCTGGAAAAAAGCAACTCTGGATTGCAAACACCCCAATACACCATTTTACAGTCAAAGCAGTCAGTGATCTAATACAATTTCATTCTGTGCAAAATCGTTGAAAATTATTTAGACATTAAAAGTAACTTAAAAAATCACTTGATGTTACAAACATACTGAAATGTAATCGGATTTTGTGCTTTTGCAGCAACAGAAACACTCTTTAAAGCAATGATGGATAATTCTCTTAAAAGATGAAACCGAAGAAAGCAACAGATAAATTGATTTGAAAAATATGAAAGCTAAAATGCACCGAATTTGATATGAATTACTGATTATGTAGTGAAAAAGTTTTTAAAAACAATAAAATACAATGCTTTTGTTCATCCTACTAATCTTAAGAAACATGCAATGCAATCACAAATTAATCAACTAAACATTATTTTGTAAAAATGCGCATTTCGCGTCGTTTCATTCCCTAAAGCTGATCACCAATGCAAATATCTCATATTAAGCATTAAATCAAAACGAACAGCTGAAATTATCTGACAGTATAGCAGCGCTCCATAACGGAGGTGGTTATGATGATGACAGGTTTATATTTGGCTGTTGAAGTGTTAAGAGCATCAGCTGTAGTTAGTGTGATTAGTTGCTCTAGTGTATTAGTACTGACAGCTGAAGTCTCCTTTGTGTTTGTGAGAATGCTTTTGCCCTCGGGATCTGTCAGTCTTACCCTGAAGGGGCTGCTGGGAACGCTGACGCCTCCCCAGGTCACGGCCAGCGTGTGTTTGACGGCCGAGGTCGGCGTGTACGAGCAGGAATACACGTTATCACCTTTGCTCTTCACCTTCACATCGATGGGGACGCCATCTGCATCCTGGGAAAACAAATGAATTCAAATGCAGCATGGGTGGAAGTTCAACTCGGATTGGTTTGTCTCACACATTTATTAGCTGACGCTCGACAAACCTGTGCGATGATTCTCAGCGGTCCGTTTCCAGTGTCTTTGGCCTCGACGGTGAACTCTGCAGGTTTGTTTATGATACAGCCGGTCTTCTCCAGTCCTGGTCCATAAGCCCTGACCTACAAACAAGTACATACTGTATGTGAAAAACAAACTATCTAATAACCTAGTAAATGCACAAATGCAATGTCCTTTATTTTGGATTTGCTGGGATTTGTTTGCACTTTTTGCAACAAAATACAATAATTGAAGTAGATTTATATTGTAATTGTTTAATGCATTTTATTTCTTTATTTCTGAATTATTGTTTTTTATTTGTTCTGTTGCACTAGGATGTTTGTGCTTATGCAGTAAAATAAATACTCTTTGAACAATGATGGATAATTCTCCTAATGACAAGTTAAACAGAAGAAAGAAATATATTATTATAATTTTTTTTTAAATAAAAGGCATTTGAATCTAAACTACTGATTAAAAAATTAAATAAAATGTTTGCCAGTATTTTAAAACAAAATACATTTTTGCTCGTACTGATAATCTTAAGAAACATGCAATGCAATCACAAATCAAAACATATTCTATGTAAAACAGATTTAATAAATAAGTGTTTTGTTTTTATATACACACACACACATACATATATATTTATTCTCAAGAGGTAATATCAATATTGTATTTTTTTTTTTTTTAAGTGGGTACTACACATTGCCACAATTTAAATATTTAATTTTATAAATATAAATAGTTAAAAAAAATTGCATTGCATTAATTGTGAAAAAAGTTTTTTATATTTATAAAACTAAATATTTAAATTGGGGCAATGTCTAGTACTCACTTAAAAATATATTTAAAATTTTTTTTTTTTTTTTATTAAATAACCTGAAAAATCACTAATATTAATTACAGAAACAATCAGAAAAAAAAAAACAGGATGCATTACGATAATGAGAATTTTGGGGAGAAATGTGCTTAATTGTCGTGAAAATAATGCAATTTTTTCAATATGTGCATGAAGTATAAGAGGTTTTTCCGCTGCTTTGTTTACCTGGTTGGGGTTGCTGGCTTTGTTCTCAGGGACGATGTAGGCCATGAAGGGACTGTCTTCAATGTCTTCATCATCACACATGACATGGACAGCGTATTCACCCGATTCGGTGGGCCAGTACCTCACATTACACGAGCCGTCGTTCTGATCATCACACTCGATCCGGGCCTGAGACGGACCCTCGATGGCGAAGCCTACAGAAAGGAAGGTATTTACATCATGAGATGATAAAACAGGTTATGGAGCCCTGATTTAAATGCGACTATGATAAAATGTGTGAAGATGTGGTAAGAAGCTCCTGTGATCTCACCGAGAACTCCGACCTCAGTTCCGATGGATTCGGCCACAAAGTCCGCAGACTTGCCCACAACGCCTTCCTCCAGCCCCGGACCCCACGCACGGATCTTCTGCTGTCCGGCTTCAGAGCCCACCTGAACCTCGAAGGGGCTGCACACAAGACAACAAAGACATCTGATGAAATTTCACTCAATCAGAAAAAAATAAATAAATAAATTATAATTTACATAAAAATAAGCCTTATTTTATGACCATTAAGATTTTAGGTTTTAGAAACCAAAACATTTCCATAAAGATTAAGAAACTTTTCTTTACAATTAAAGTGATGCAATTTTTTTAAATATTTAAACTGTGGCAATGCAATCTACTGTAGATTGAAAAAATAAATAAGCATTTTATGTACCAGGCTTATTTTAGTATTTATATTATATTGTCAAAGTATTATTATTATGAATGAGCTTTTATTTATATATTTTCAGGTTTCATTTTAATTTTGTTTTGTGTTTTGGTTCAATTTTAGTTTTTGTTGTTGTTGTAATTTTCAGTTTAGCTTTAATTTATATTTATTACAGTAATGTTAGTACTTTAAGATTTTCATTGAATACTTATATTTTTTATTTTAATAGTTTTTTCTTAAATGTTTCTATTTAGCTTATTACAGTTTTAGTACTGTTCAACTTACTTTATTTCAGTTTTTAAGTTTTTCATTTAATATTTATATTATTTTATTAGTTTTTTATATATATATTTCTATTTAGCTTTAATTTATACTTCTAAGATTAAAAATCTAAATAAAATATTTACATTCAAAAAATTACAAGGAGAACCTGTTGAGAATAATAATGACAAAAAACATCTTCTCAATTAATATGATGCATTATTTCCCTAAAAATTAACCACATTTTCCTGACAATTAATGTTATACAATTAATGTTATTTTTTATATTATTTAAATTATGGCAATGCAATCTATGCAGATTGAAAAATTAAATTAAATTAAAAAAATAAAATAAAACCTTTAAATAAAACAATTACAATAATGGCAACCTGTTGGGAATAATGAGAATGGTTATAAAAAATAAAATAAAAACTTCACAATTAATGGTGCAATTTATTTTTACATAATTAAATATTTAGCTCCCACATTAATCTATACATACTAAAAAAAAAAGAAAAGAAAAAAAATGTAATTAAGTACAATAATGAGAATTTGAGCAATAATATGCTTAATTGTCATGAAAATGATGTAAAATTGCAGAAAATCTCAACAGTCCTAAAAACAAGCTTCATTGTCTTTAAGCAAAATACATATATTTTTTAATGCACTCTTATTTTGAGTTGAAATAAGACAATGAAAGATTATTATAAAGATCAGTGTGGTTTAACTCTCAAAATGCCATTATTTGTCAAATAAGCACAAAACTAAACACTTTAACCACACACACACACACACACACACACGTGTTAACCTGACAGCTTTAGCAGCACAAACAGCGCTGACGTCTCTAGTTAGTGACAATGTGTGTGTGTGTGTGTGTGTGTGTGTGTGTGTGTGTAAGGCTGAAGTCCAGGTGAACAGGAGGTCGATTGTGTTCAATCCAGCCTGTCTCTTTCACTCAGCCACTCAGCCTCCTGCAGCCATCTGATTGGCCAATCTGCCATACATGTGATCACCAGAAAAGCAACACACCATGGCGTCTTATAAAACCCCCAAGAAATCTGAAAAACACCTTAAAAAAGGCATTTTTGGTGCTGCATGCTTCTGCATCACCACACGTCCACAAGCAGAGCGAAAACAAATCTGTTAACCTGACAGCTTTAGCAGCACAAACAGCGCTGACGTCTCTAGTTAGTGACAATGATCCATTTCCAACACAAACACACGTCATTAATCTGCGCTCGGACTCTACGTCAGCGGAAACCCCCCATCTGAGAGAGTTTTCCCCACCGTATGTGTGTGTGTGTGTAAGGCTGAAGTCCAGGTGAACAGGAGGTCGATTGTGTTCAATCCAGCCTGTCTCTTTCACTCAGCCATTTCGGCTCCTGCAGCCATCTGATTGGCCAATCTGCCATACATGTGATCACCAGAAAAGCAACACACCATGGCGTCTTATAAAACCCCCAAGAAATCTGAAAAACACCTTAAAAAAGGCATTTTTTGGTGCTGCATGCTTCTGCATCACCACACATCCACAAGCAGAGTGAAAACAAATCCAACTCTAAAGGCAGCCGTCATTTCCGCTCGTCAGTCTGCTAAATAAGATGTTTACTCTATATCACGCGACGGCCGTTTCCCGTCGTTTTAATTATACCATTATAGTATTTATTAATCTTTTGATTTAACTTTTATTTTAATATTTTCAGTTTTCATTTTAACAGTGTATTTTATCAATTTCAATTTAGCTGTAATTTATAGTTTTTACTTGGAAATATTTGTTTAAAAAAAAAAACGATTAA